TGAACATGGTAAAACACTTGAAATTATAGTGTCCGTCCAAAAGATATTTTGTACTTATAGTGAAAACTAACCTTGGATGATGGGTTAGTAGACTAAAGGCTTTAGGAATCCAAAGTACAACATATAATAAGTACCCTGTATCAAGATTGATGCAAAACAAGTGATATTTGACATTTTTAGACAGATTTAGCAAAAAAAAACTTTTCTGGGGCCATTTGGGTGGATTTTTCATATCTCTGGCCCCCCTGCTGGATTTTGACATGTGACATCTCTTTCTAACCATCAGAGCCAATGGAATCGAGGGGAACTTCCACATAGTCCTTATTTGGTCATGTGTGTGTATTATTATTTGGTCATGTGTGTGTATTATACTGCCGCATAGCCAAGACCGGAAGCAGCAGCCACTCTGGTGGCTACCATTAGCAGCTAACTTTTGCTCTGCGATTTTTACATAAAAATGGAATTATGGATTATAAATAATTCAAATTATTGCCCAGGAACTTTATCAACCTAAACATTAACCGATTCAGCCGCGTTTTTTGTCGTTTTAATGCCATTGAACACGTCTTTTGATCAGATTAACAGCTACGGTGAGACGATCTCCCTAGAAGCTACGTAAAGGTACGTGTTGTGATGTCTGTCTTTGCTTCCCCTGTCGCAAATTCGGATCACTCAGTGATGATACTATATACCTAAATAATCTGTGGAACCTCAGCTTTAATCGGATATCTTGTATGTGCAGCTACGATAAGTAATAAGGGTACTTTCATCTTGAGTTCTGTGCCAATGTCCGTTAGCATTTTTCGCTCAGGGGTCATTTAGATGCTTCTTATGAGACTTGTGTTTTGTTTTGGTAAAAATGGTTTATATCGTCAGTTAGCTGAGATTATTTCCGTTAATCTGGTATAACACATTAATAGGTTCTTAAATATTAAGATCCCCTGAGAAACAGTGTCCTGAAAATAAATCCGCCGGTGGGGACCTTGGGGCTTAACAGGTTAGCTTTAGTTTATCTTATCATTTCACTTTTCGGGAAAATAAATACCTACTGGGAACCTCCTCCGCACAGCAGCAGAAGGAATGCTGCGCCTGGACCTTCGTCTCCATCGCCTTCCTGCGAGAGCCGGCCGCCCTGGGGGGGGTGATCTCCAGACTCAGAGCCATGGTGAATGGGTGTGATAAGGCGGGCTTTGGGGACTGTGCAGAAGACGCTTTGAAAGGAGAAGAGGCTCCTGGGCCTGGATCTAACCTGGCGCTGCGGTCACAGAGGGCACAGGAGAACGGGGAGGAGGAGGGCCCGCGGGGGATCCGGGTCAGGCCTCGGTCCCCGTACTGCCGCTGGGCCCCGCTGTGGTGCTCTGACCGCTCGCGCTTCCACACACAGTGAGCAGACACGATGGCCATCACCTGAAGGACAAAGATGGGGAGACACAAAAACATAAATACAACTCCATCAGAAAAAACTGAGATTGAGCTTCTGGCTTTAAACCAAAGCTATACAAATGGCACTGCACAGCAAAAACAAGACCCTTGAAAGATTCCCGGAGAAAGCCCATCTATCATTCTCCTCAGGCAATTACACTGGTGTACCTCTTCGCAGCAGCGCCTGCTGACGGCAGCTCTGTACTCCACGCGAGCCCACAGCTTGTCTCGCTGCTTGAGGAAGCGAGGAAACTGCTTCCTCCAGTTCTTGCCCAGCGCCCATGGAAAAATCTCATATTTACTCTCCTCTTCATCCTCCTCCATGGTGTTGGCAAGATACCTAGAGAAGGAGCATGTGAGCGTGTTCACTTTTATATGAGAATAACAAAAACTAATTGTGTTGGTTTTTCTTTTGACACTTACAGTGCAATGAAAAAATTCTTCCTGGTGTATTCAGGAATGGTAAAGTGAGCCCGTTTGAAGTACACAAATGTCATGGCTAGAAGGTACTGAGGAATTAGGGAGAAAAGTTGTAGGCAGTTAATTGTAAGCCTCTTAAAAGCTATACAGATATTTTGTCACTTTTACACTTTTTTACATGAGAATGTACCTTGTCAGCCATTTTACAGCAACAGTCCATAAACAGAAAGTCATGGATCACGTTGTCATCTGTAAAAAAAAAATCATAATCTTTTTAATATAAAAAATGAAAAAAATTGAAAATGAAAAACAATACGAAATGCCTACAATTCTTAATTATTTCCAGTTTAAAAGTAAAACACTGAATTAATAATATATGTTTTTTATTTGGGCTGCTAATTTACCAAGAAGTCTAAAAAAAGAGGCCATTTCCTGCCGTTGGATGACAATAGTTGGGGGTATGACCACGTTGGCATCCCGCCGCTGGCTGGGCTGGCTTTTCCCCAGCGGGCCCTGGCCGTCATGGTCGTTGGTTCTTTTGAGACGGAGTCCTCTTCTGATTTGGAGAGGGTTCGTACTGCTGGGTTTGACTCCGACAGTTACTGATGGAGTAGCCTGGCACCAATGGCTTGTGTGCTTCATCATGTTTTAGTTCAGATCATCTGTGGTATGGTGTTTATGGTGAGGTACAAGTTAGAAAATGAACAGTATGAAAGTGGTTCTTCGCTAAAAACCAAAAAAAAGTTTCTTCTATCTGTTAAACAACAATGTTTTAAAATGGTTTCTTTATTTTAATAAGTATACATATTGTGCTTGTTGTTTTTGCAGTCATTACAGACTACACCTGAACATATCCACCCTTTAACATCATTTTAACATTTGTGAAATTGTTTTACCTTTAATGTTTGTCATTTTATTTGCTTACTCTATGATATGTTTTATGTATTAGGTACAGTGGTACAAAGTACATTTCTTCAAGTCCTGTATAAAGTACACATTTTGTTTACTTTTACCAAAGTATTATCAGTTTATGGTACTTTATACCTACCAAATCTTTGAAGCAAATGTTGGAACTTTTACTCCACTACATTTATCTTAGGCAGCTGGCAAAGGTGAAGCCCTTCCTTGGACACAAGCACTTTGAAATAGTAATCCATGCCTTTATTACATCTCGGCTGGATTACTGTAATGCACTGTATTTTGGAGTCAGCCAGTCCTCCCTCGCACGTCTCCAGTTAGTCCAAAATGCTGCCGCACGCCTTCTAACTGGAACACGTAAGAGGGAGCACATTACTCCCATTTTAGCCTCCCTCCACTGGCTGCCTGTGCATTTTAGAGTCCATTTTAAGATTATTTTATTTGTTTTTAAATCTTTTAACGGTCTCGCCCCGCCGTACCTCTCAGAGCTGCTCCATCCTTACTCTCCTGCCCGGTGCCTCAGGTCAGCTGATCAGCTGCTCCTGGAGGTACCGAGGTCTAAACGGAAGCTCAGAGGGGATAGAGCCTTTTCCGCTGCCGGTCCCAAACTGTGGAATGGCCTCCCATTGACCATTAGACAAGCCCCTTCACTGTCCATTTTTAAAACTCGCCTAAAAAACCATTTTTATTCCTTGGCTTTTAACCCAGCATGAGACTCTGTTTCTGTTTGTTTTTATATGCTTCATTGGTTTTGTTGTTTTTATATTGTTATTTATTGTTATTGTTGTTTTGTTTTTGTTTTTTTATGGCGTGTACAGCACTTTGTTTCAGCTCCGGCTGTTTTGAAAAGGGCTTTATAAATAAAGTTGAGTTGAGTTGGCTTCTGATGAG